ACCTGTTTGGTCCCCTTTTTCAGGAGACTCACTCTTCATTTTCACCTGAGGCTCCCTTTCTTTTCCGACCCACAAGTTGTTGTTACAGTTCCAGCTTCCCACCACTAGAGGGCTCCTAAACCTCTGGCTCATACCTCATCCACTTAGGGGAGGTGTTGACCAATCAGACATCCTTAGCCAATTCTAGTACTCTCGTATCACCCCGCCTCCTTTCTGCAGCCTATTTAAACCCTGCTCTCTCTTCCTACAGTGCTCAGTATTGGTTTAGACTTTGAGATTAGACTTACCCGCATAGAGTCCATCCCTTTAAAAACAGCTGCTCTGCAGCTGTTCTGCCTCAAGCCTACTCTTCAGTTCTATCTGGTTCCCTTCCAAGGAGGCTCGCTATTCGGTTTCACCCCTACCTTAGGCTCCCTGTTTCCAACCAGCAGACAGTGTCTGGAAGTCTATGCAATTTCAAGTCAGCACTTCTCCTTGCTCAGCAGTCTCTGCATCCTCAAGCCAGTGCTTTTTCCTGTACCCCATGCTCCCTGTTTCTGACCAGCGGACTGCTTTTGGCAGTAATTTCAGCTTCAAGACAGCGCTTCAACTGCAAAACAGCCTCAGCTTTCAGCGCTGCACGGTGTAGCCGTTTCAGCTCCAGCATTGCCTGGCAAAGCAGCCTCAGATCCTTGCCTGCTCTCCGCATCGCCTGATGCAACACTCTCAGATGTAAGACCACATTCCTTTTCATACTTATTCTTCTCACTGGTCACTGTGTCGACCCTCATATTTGTCAACATGCACCCTCAGCACTCCTGAGGGCTGCCCTTCTAAGCCTGTTAGGTTCCCTTTTCAGGGGTCTTGCTATTCAGTTTCCTTCCATACCCAAGCCTCCCTTTTTCTGACCAACGGGCTGTGTTTAGCAGCCTTTTTTTGCAAGGGATGCAGATAGCCAGGTTTTTACTGGGATCCTCCCCATTACTGACTTGCCAGGGCTGATTAAGTCCCATCAGCCAATTATCAATTATTTCATTATCACCTTTCAATTTTCACTCTCCAGTCTCTTGTGCTTGGGTTCTCACCACCCAAATGGCTGTATCTGGACACAACTTTACAGCAGAAAGTTAGATGGATTACGTTAAGGTTTAGATACCACACAGAGAGCATTTTGTAAGGATATGCATGGCTCCAGGTAAGGAAAAGGAATACTGAAAGGGGTAAAATATATTTAACTTTAATTCAAGATGAATATTTTTGCTGGTTTAGTATAATTAATTGTCCTTCCTCACGATTCACTTTAGGGATTATATGATAGAGCTATTACAGTATTTCTGAAGGTGCCAGGAGACACCACCAGCAGACACAGCAACAGTATAATGTATAGATGTGTAAACCTCTTATATTATCCTCAGACATGCTGCACTGTTGTAACTAGAGTCACTGTGCAGGTGTCCATTAGACTGGACGATGTTTGAATCAGATGGGCCAGTGCTCCAATTTGACGTTAATCCCCATCTGGTGTTGCATGTGCAGTATAGGAAGAGGATACCAGATTAATAGCAGATTAATGAATGTTGTCTTCATTAATAACAAGTGAATGTTTGAACTATTACCTTATGGCTATTCTTCATAATGTATTTTGTTTTTGTGTTTACTATGAAAAAGTCTTGTGCCAAATTAAGATCATTATTTTGTTAGTTTGTTAGTTTTTTACCATTAAAATAAAAAAAATGTAATCTCTGTACCATGTCCTTAAACGTTCATAAGGTTTAAACCATATAATCGAAATAAATCAAGATAACCATACTGAAACTGGTTTTGTCACAGTATAATTTCATTTACCTTTCTCCTGCAGTCTTGATTACAGTAGCAGCATGCCTTAAAATTAAGGAAGTGCCATGACCAATGTGCCATCATTGGAGAAATACTTAAGCTTCTCCACATTTACAAACTGCAAAGGCCCTCTTTCTAAACCATCACATATTAGAGTAATAAGAATGCTTAAACAAAAGAGATGTAACAGATTGTCACTAGATAATGAAGGAATTTACAGCACCGTCACTCACCTAATGGGTCAGTGGAGCTGCTTTGTTGATGGCCTCTGGATAGGCAGCACATGGATGACTCCAGATTTTGAAATGGGAAAATATTACTTTATGTCATGTGATGTCCCTAAGCCATTATATAGTCCTGCCCTCTATGATCCTCAGCACAATGCATTTCTCAAAGCAAATAGCAAAATGCATCAGTGCATGAGATAAAACAAAACCATTAAAACGTGAAGTCATGCACATCCAGATGTACAGGAACTCAAGGCTATCCATCTGTCTTGCAGCTGTTGGACAGGAACACTTTTCTTGAATTAGCATTTCATTTAAAAGGGAACCATTTTATTAACATTTTTCGTGAAAGAAAAAAAAATACATGAACAAACTCCATACAGGAGAAATCATAACTAAAAACTTATTTTGATAAGTAAAAAGCAATTGAGCATACTGTCATGGTTGTCACAATAGCAACATTTGATCTAATCATTATTCACTCTTTAAGAGTAATTTCTGTGAATTCATTGAAGTACTATCTAAAGGTATTTGATTCTCCCTTTAACCTTGCAGGACTTGTGGCTACAGTTAGATCCACCAACAAAAGGTGTTCCTGAAAATAACAGTAGCCTGAGAGCGCAGCTTTAGTGACACAGTCACTGTATATCCAAAACCTTTTTAAATACATACAACAAGAAATTGCTTTATTACAGGACATTACCAAAACATTACACCATTCACCTTACAATCGATACATACTGTACAGTATATTCCTTTGGTATATGTATGGATATGTATGTGCTCTGAATATAACTAGTTAAAGTAGAATGATGCTGTTCTAGGTTTTTTGTTGAGAGTGAAATATGGATCATGGAAAATATTAAATTAATGTGACAAAGTCCATTCATTTTTATAATTGAGCTTCTGCCATTTAGTATAGCCTGTAAAGAAGATAATCTAGTCAAAACTGCTATAATTCTATTCTGGTCATCGATCTTATTATCTTTACAAATCTGTTGAAAATGGGGGGAAATCTTAATATCTTAATACCTGCAATACCTGTGGGTGACCAGGAATATGGAGTTGGTAGAAGAGAGGTTGTAAAAGCAGTAAGATGCTTATGAATAAGGGTATAGTTTTATATACCCAGAGAGTCTACCAAAGTTAGAAATTCGTAAAAGAAATTCGACAAAAGTCGTAAGCGAGGGAGAGAGATATCACATTTGGTGTTTATAGTGTTCGGTGGAGGAAGGATGAAGGGAGTGATTGCTAATCACTGACAGCTGGGAATGATTGAGCGTGGTTGTTGTCATCCCTCCCGAACTTTAGTTAAATAAACTACATACAATGATGGTGATATTTTAAGGCCTTCTTCAAGCATCAACTGTATGCCCAGTATACTTTGAGGGACATCACTGACCATATCTGCACATACAGGTAAGTGAACGGATTGATGAATAGGATACAGATCATATTGAATAATGAAACTTCAAGGCTAACGGCTGTTAGAACAATCCATAGTTCCATTCTAGCATATCAAATGGTTTCTTTGCATCTAAAAAAATACACAGACCTTTGGCCCACAAACATGGTAGCCAATACTACAGTTTATGCACACAAATCATACCTGTACACAGAAACTAATTCACTGCGTATTCATTAGTGTGCAAGTACATGCACACAAAACAATATATCAGTATGTACAGTATACTAACCAAGCACTTCTAGAATTAAACCAGTACTGTATACAATAAAACCAACAATGTACAATATGTAAAAAAAACAATATTGTGTCTGTAGAAGCCATCTTGTGAAAAGAAAGACCACTATCTAGGGTTTTTAAAATAAACTGTCATTTGCTTCAATTTAATTTTATCAGAAAAACATAAGCCTACAAATTTGTATTTATATTAGATCTAGACTGTCTCGCAAAGGTACTGTACTAGGACTTTTTTATGGTGTCAGATTTCATGAAATTATAAAATGGTACATACACAGTTGTTTAAAATTGTATTTCATTCAAAACTTGAATACTTGGACTAAAGACTTCTAAAGATAAGACAAGTTACAGCAAATGTAAAATAAAGCTAAAGAATAAAAACCCAGCGATTGGTGAAAAGTATTTTTGGGTAAGTCTGTATCAACATTGCATACTGACTTGGTACTGTACATTTCACTACTTGACCAAGGAATCTAGGAACCTCACAGAGACAGGTGTTTTTATTTGGAAATATTGAGAATTACTATTATTACAAATAGACAGAGGAGACTCAACTAATTGTGTAGTTTGATAAGATAGTTTTATGAAAGTACATTATTTTAGGTTTACCACAGCAAAGAGTTTGTATGCTAATGCTATCGCTTTTCAGTTTTTTTTTCATTCATATGAATGATCAATTTCCTTATTTCTTTTTGTTTTGGATATATGGAGTTGGTTGTGTATAAAATATTATTTGCTACTTTATAGTATGACTGCAAGCTTTAAAGCAACAACATGTGAAAACTGAGCAAGGGTATGAATATTTTCGCAAGGTATTGTATGCAGATTGGTTTGTATGCAGATTTCTACTGGATGTAGTGGGCGCCCTTTTTGTTCAGTTAGAAACTTATTTTTTTAAGTAGCTATGTTTCGCCCAGAAAATTGATTATAAAATTGATTAATACTAATTGTTTGAGAATGTTAGGTTATTGAAAATTTTTCATTAGTCATTTTTTGTAATGGTTCAATACTTGTGGCCATACCAAAATGTGAGCATATTAGAAATCACGTGAAATGTGCCTTTCAAAGTTTCTGCAAGGATACGGTACGAATTACGATTGCAGCAAGGAATATTTAAATATTATGGTACAGCTCATAGGGATAAAGACTGGAGTTTACGCCGTCTGAAACATTGTTGTTTAGAAATAGTAACACGGTACTATTTTGACACATCTATTGAGACGACTCATTCTCAGCAACCGCCGGTGTCGCTGCAGTGACAGTTGTACCGAGTTTGCGCAAGAAAATGCTGCTCGTCAATTTGGACAGGGAGCTGGTGGGAGAGGACCAGAGGCAGAGTGAGTGAAACAGAGCGCTACTCTCCAAGGGTCTCTCTCCGGCAGAGGAAAACAAACGACAGCATCCACCGTCTGTGTACCAGGAAGATACGAATTGTCCATCGCTTTGCACTGTGAGTCTTTTTTTTTCGGGGAATTTATAAATGCATTATGGATTATATTTTATAGTCTGTAGGAATTGTCATTGCAACTGTGATAGCTCCTGTTCGGCAACATAAAATGCGCATTTGATGCAGTAGATGTCAAGATAAAGCGGAGGATGGTGGTTTCCAGTTGAACATTTTTCCATAGCAACCAATAATGTTGCGGAAATATGTCTATACATGCCGGTATAAAATGTATAGGCCTGAAAGGAATTATCGTTTTCTAGCTGATATGAATGTAAGTGAAAAAGTGATAGAAATGATCATCCAGTACTTATAAAAATGATCAGTAGCCATGAACGATAGAGGTATGATGTTTTTACAGTTCTAACCCGAATTGATTATTTCTGTTAAAATGCATAAAATATGGCTGCAATTTAAATATAATATATAAACTACATATTGTCCGCGTGTTTTACTAAATCTCTTTTCCAGTAGGTTCATTATTACAAACCAGACATGTCATATTTTAATGATTGCAACAAATGCCGTGAAGAATGGTTTTGAAAAGACTATCATGTTTCCATGATAAAATAAATAATACATAATAAGGCTTTGCTGATTGTATGTGTTTATTTTGCCATAGTTTCTAAATAATTCAAATGTGCTTTAAACCGGCACACTGATTTTACCTTGAGGCTGGGCTACAATGCGGTTACCAGTAGTTTCTCGTGTATTAACGCAACCTTTATATTGTAACCCGCCGAGACATTTTATCCAAAAAAATTGGTTGTTTTAAATTTAGTAGGATTATGGTGTGTGGTAACAGCTGACGTTTGGGGATTAAGTGACAGTTTATTTTTTACATTCTGGACTGTAATGTTCTGGCATTTGTGTGTTTTTTTATAGTTCCTGTCAATGGCTATGCAGGGCACACCTTATGGATGTTGCAAAAGATGATTATAGACTCGTTTTCAACATTTGGATTACCCGATTGCATTTTGTAACAATTTTTATATAAATATTATCATTATAAAGAGCCCAGTCTAGATGGTTCATCATGGTTGTCCTCTATAGAGAGAATTTCAAGAGATTGTGTTAATTTTCACCACATTGCTAGTGCTTTGTTTTCAAGTATCATGCAGTTTAAGATTAAGGAAGATTGTTTTTTTTAAACAAATTAACATTTTACAGAAACAAAACAAGCACTTTTGAATGACTGTTGACCTAATCTGGAACATTTATGAAAGATTTTGGCTTTCCAATAATAATAGCCTGGTGCACTTGTTCTAACAAAGAAGCACAGTTTGTGGCAAGCAGAAAATGTATTCAGTCTGGATTCTTGACTAGTTATTGGTGAATACAAATAAATGTTCTGTGGTTTGTTTTTGGTTAGTTTTGCTTCGATGGGAGTAAGTTTCCCACTTCAGTCGTAGTTTTATTCATGGCCCTGATTTTTCTCTGCATGAAAACATTCACGGTGACATACCTGCACATATCCAGTACACATTGTATGGAATGGAATCATTATGGGTCCCTCACTTGTCAACAAGTGTTGTTAATATAAATTCAGAACCTAGTCTGTCAATGCAAAATCATCTTCTTGCATTCACAAGGTATTTGAGGTTAAGAATGTTTTATCTTGAACTAAAAAAAAATAATTTTGGTATTCCATCTTAGCATTTAAGAATTTAAGAATTAATATTACTAATTTTGCACTCCCTGTGTTGCTTTAGGTCTGTAAAGATGTTTTCTTATTTGTAGAGAAGAGACACCTCACTTTATTGCATTGTCCTGCTAAGAATATCTCTGATATGTTTCTTCTCTGCTTGAAATTGAATGGGGATGCAGGTTGCATAGAAGTGTTGAGACAGAAATGTCTAAAATCTTTTTAAAAGAACATACGGGCTTTAGGTTGACATGATAAAATTATCATTTGTGGCATTTATGAGTTTTGTCCAGCCTTTCATTTCTGCTTGCAATATATGACAGTTCATCATATGAATGAACCTTTTATATGTTTTCTATTGAGAGCCTGCAGAGCCCTCCAAAGCTTCAGACCTCCTCTGGCTGCAGTTTCTCTACTTAATGTAAATGGTACAATGAAAAATATTCTTGACAGTTGTGGGAATGCGGCAAAAAATATGAAATGACCCATTTGTCTAGTCATTATATCGTTTAACCTGAAGAAAAGAAATCTGAACATAATTAGATTTCTATAGCATAGACATAATGACAAAAGACCAGTGGCATTGTTCTGGGAAATGTGAATTGCTCATGGTACCAATGACCTGAAGGAAGTGTTATGTTATAGTAGGAGGCTGTGCACTGTGCTACTTTGAAATGAATTTCACTTATTTGGCCATGTAGGCTGTAAAGCATGCAAGCCATTTTGTCAATGTGTTTTTTTTTTTACTTTCTACTGAGTTGTACTTCAGTGCAAAAGTCCACATGCCATTTACTGTACATATGAATGTGTGAGATTGAGATTGTGTTTACGTCCATAAAAACATTTTGAACTTCATTGTGCTCTTGTCTCCACAGACCAAATGGTAATTGCAGGAAGAGTGACTAAATTGAGCAGTTCATTTAGAATACTGCTGGAAACACTGAGTATTAAAGTTGAAATGGAAATAGAAAATAGCAGAGAGATTTAATTAAAGAGGATTGTTACTACTCTAGTTGCATAGTAAGATTATATTCTAAATAATATCTGATTATGCCATTTTATTTTTATTGTGTGCTGTTATTAGAAAATCAACTAACAAATGTTCACAATATCAGATACAGCGTCAATACAAGTAAATGATGCAAAATAACCGATTTTTACAATAGCACTTGACCAGAAGCATTTTATAACAACATGACAAGGTTACAGATGAACATAGTTAGTAGCTTATTGACCCAAGGACCAACAATTTATTGAAAGAAACTAGGATATCGACTTTAACAACATGGCTGGGTAAATGGTTGCATACTCCCACAATGCTTTGGATAAAGAGGCTGCTTCTGTTCTCAGTTTTAAATGCACTTCCACATACAGTAGTTTCCACTGTTCAAGACAGAAAAGATTAATTTTCTTCAGATTATCAGGACATGCAACCTGGTTGCTCTTTTCTACTTGGATTCCAGTGCAGCAATATTTTTCCATAACGTGTTGACCAAAATTACACACATTATTCTAAACAAAGCCTTACTTGTGCAATATTCAATTATTCTATTTTGACTTGATTTAAACTATATGCTTTAAAGATTTAAAGTATATAACTATCATTTTGTCTGCCTGATTACGTGCTTCCCTACCATGTCTAGAAGATGTAAGTGATGTGTCATTAAAAGCCCTTAAGTTTTTTTTCATAAGTAATACATTCCAGAATTGTACTGACATTTGACTTGCACAAATGGTTCTTTTCTGAAGATAAATATTTTTTTTTTAGAAAATGTAGCCAATTCCCACAGAACATCTATGAAGGCAGTAATATGCAATAATTCATAGATGGAAAAACATAATATTTAGCAATTTAAGAAAAACAACAACAACAGTATATTGAAATATAATCTGTTAATTAGTTAATTTTTTTTCTGAATATTGTGTTTATGGCAACATGATGGTTATGATAATTCAATCTGAAAAGTAAATACTCACAATACTCTCAATAAATATGATTTATTGTTCATCATGCATCACTTTTTCATTGTGATATTCTTTAACTACTTCTTTGCAAATCCATAAAAGTGCCTTGTTAATCTAACATATACTGTATTGCTTTCTAATTGCTAATTACTGTGATGCCACCCTGAGAAAACAGTTTGATTTAAAACATCAACATAATAACCCTGCTGTAGCAGGTTTAAGCCCTTTGTTATAACTTTTGATTTGTGTGATCAGACACTGAAGGAAGCATGGTGAGCTCCTGGAAATGTTGCTAGAACCGTACTATGACTTAAAGACCTTTTTATACTTTCCATATGAGAAAGTCTTAACTCCAGTTCTGGTACAGATAAAGTTTCTGAAATTGAATTCCTACTATGATGATCATCTGATTTGTTGAGATTTAGCATTATTTGTATTTTAATTTTTTATTTGTACTTTTTGTTCATCCACTTAATACTACTTTAGATGATATTCACTGAAGTTCACTTCAAGTCGTTTTTTCAGAGTCAGATTTACATTCTGGATGGCATTGTGTCAGGGAGATTTTAGGGGATGACTGATCTAATCAGATGCCAGATTACATTGTCATTGACCGATTTTGTTTCTGCCTTAATCACATTATCATATGTTCCCTGTGTCAGGGAATTTCCTTGCAATATATTCCTGTAATTAAGTAAGCAAGGGCAAAACTATTATTTTCTGTGTGTTGCATAAACGTTTTGTGGTGCCCAGTATCTTTTACTACGTTGTGCTATTTCTATATACTGTATTTTTAACTCATAATTTGCTACTAAGACTTAAATATACATATTAATATTAATAATAATAATAACAATAATAATAATAATAATAATTGCTTAAACTTATATAGCGCTTTTCTGGACACTCCACTCAAGAGCCTTACAGGTAATGGGGACTCCCTTCCACCACCACCACCAGCCCCCACCTGGATGATGCGACGGCAGCCATAGTGCGCCAGAACGCTCAGCACACATCAGCTATCAGTGTGGAGGAGAGCGGAGTAATGAAGCCAATTCATAGAGAGGGATTATGAGGAGGCCATGATTGGTAAGGGCCAATGGGAAATTTGGCCAGGACACTGGGGTTACACCCCTACTCTTTCTGATTTAAATATATTTTCTGAGTCAGTTCTATTTATAATTTATTATAAATTATATATATATGGATGGGAAACATTAAAATTAAATTTATAATTAAAATGTATTATAAGTGTGTATTTTAAATTCTTCTTTAATTGTCACACTTTTAAGGTAATATTTAACTTTTTTTACATCAATAAAACATCTTCTAAAAATGTCATAACACATTTGTTTTAATCCTCATTTTAATCCTTGGTTTTTAACATAAGGGTAGG